GAGGCTTAGCCACGCTTCTCAGCGGCCTCGACGACCAGGACGCCGTCCAGAGGTTGATCGGGCGCGGGCTTCTCGGACGTCTGACGAGCCGCTTCCAGCAGCACGACGACCTGACCTGGGAGTGTACGGCATTCACCGTGCTCGCCGAGGATCACCAACCGATCCGGAGCCGCGGACGGTCGAGGTCGAAGGCAGCGGCGAAGGCAGCTGCTGTATCCCAAATTCGAGCCTCACTCGGTAAGACACTGAACACGCAGTGACAGCAAACGGTACGACTGGCTGACATTCCACCGCAGAAGCCTACTTCCGGGAGCGAGAAGGGGTCTTGTCTCCTGTTGCCGAGAGCGATACCTCTGAGGAATCGAATGTGCCCGTTGGATCCGCAACCAGCCTTACGAAGCGGCAACAGCGGGTGATAGATGGCGCACGAAGCCACCTGGAGGTCATGTCGTCCATCGTACGTGCCGCAGCCGCCGGCCGACCCACCACAATCCTCGTCCTTGATACCGAGGTGTGGGAGCAGGACAGCTCGAAGCTCCTGGAGGTGGGGGGCGTGTTTGTCGACCAATCGAGGGACATCTACGAGTGCTTCCACTTCGTCGTGAAAGAGACTGAGTCTCTCCAGAACGAGTTATTCTGCTCCGGTTCCCCGGGACCGTTTGTGTGGGGTTCATCTGCGACCCTTCCACTGGACTCTGTCGTCGCGGAGCTCAAGAAGAGGCTGTCTCGGGTGAGGGACGCCGGGGACGGCGTTCTCATCGGGCATGCACTCCACAATGACACGAAATGGCTGGCGCATCACGGGGTCGACCTGGCCGGAGTCGAAGTGTCGGATACGAACGACGTGTACCGACACGCGCAATTGTCCCATCAATCCATCGGACTGGCAAGGCTCGCCAGCCAGATGGGGATCTGTATCGACCACCTTCCCCTGCACAACGCCGGCAATGACGCCGCACTGACCTGGATTGTCTGGTTGCACCAAGCATTCAAATATTTAGACACTGATCTGTTGCGGTTCCTAGCATGACGAGAGCGAGCAGGGTCAACGAAGGTCTGGAGTGGACGGTCTTTTTCCTCCCTCCTGGTTGGAGTATCACTTATGGGTAGTGGCAGTGGCACCGCCTTGGGGCATGTAGTATTTGCATTTCGTGAAAAGGAAATTCCATCAGCCAATCTGATCGTTCCCCAGCGTGATATTCAATTTCTTGTCCCTGCCGAGTTCGCAGTGCAACGTTGCACTCCTGCGTAGAGCGGTTCCAATGTGTGGCGCTCAGGTGTGGCACACGCTGTGGCGTCCCTTGTTAGGGAGATTAAGTGAGATAGTCGGCAGCGCTGACTAACATCCGTCCCTGCGTAACGAAAAACCCGCCATGCCGAAAAGGATTCTACAAATAGTCAGACTGGATCCTCCAATTTAGTGGAATTAGGGTGATTTACGTTTCAAGGTGTCGATCAAGTATGTCTACTTCTACAGCCAGTAGAAAATTAACTCGTCGCAAGATTTCTACCTGCTTGCTCTGCTTCCCATTCAGCTAAGGTTTCCTGAGAAGATACTAGATCAGGATGCCCTGCTCGAAGAGTCTGACAGCGAAGATGAACGCACTCCTGCAGCAAGCCTATAGCTTCAGCACTTCTCCCAAAGCGTTTCCATGTCCAAGCAAGATTAGCCATGCTGGTCAGCGTGGAAGGATGGTCCGCTCCTAGTTTCTTCTTGCGAGTCTCCATCACTTGCACAAACA